AAGAGAATATTATATATATTATATGTAATATTCTATATCTATATATAATACACACACATACGTATATATGTGTATATATATATATATATATATATATATACCGTAATCACGTAACCGAAGTCAGTAACACCGCCGCGGTCGCGCGGCCGAGGTCAGTGACTTCACCGCAGTCGCGTGACCGGGGTCATTGACCCCGCCGCGGTCGCGTGACTGCGGTCAGTGCCCCCGCCCCCACCAAGGCCGCGCGCCCGCGGTCACTGACCCCGCCCCCACCAAGGCCGCGCGGCCGAGGTCAGTGACATTACTCTGTAGTATGTATATAATACATATAATACAATATAAAGTATGATATTATAAATATATAATAAATTCTATGTATAATACGTATTATTTAATGTTATATATAATATAAATTACAGTCACGTTATTTTCACGTGTTGTTTTTCTATTCTTTCCTGTCACGTTTGACTTTAGTTACGTTTTTAATTTTCTCTACATATACGACGACCTGTCTCAAAATTGCTTTTCATTATTTACTCGCTCGATTTTACCGATTCGATTCGACCAACCAATCAATCGGCAACGTGGAAAAGAGGCAACAATAGATGCGATATATTCGGCTCCAAAACGCGCACTTCTCGGTCCAAATGCCCTTTTTATATAGGATATCATCATTTTTATATAGGACTCATCGACATCACATCAAGAGAATATAGAATCGTCATAAGATATTTAAACGCAATTAATGTGGCGCATTCTGCATTTGTATTTAAACGTAATTTGAAGAGACGCATTTATGACTTTACCTCGAAAAAAAAGAAATTCGACATAACTGGCTAAATTTATCGAGTTTAATTTCATTCTGAGAAGTAATGTTCGCGATAACATCGCTGTGAATTGTGATAAAAATAAATGTATATAGAAACTCCGATGGATAATATATTTACGCGTAGTTTTTGCTTATCTCAAACCATTCGTGTGTTACCTTAGAAAGATAGCTTACTTAAGATACACAATTTAATCACCGATGACTTGAAGGTATGTCGATAATGCGTGGCGATAAATACGATAAAAGATCTGACCAACAGGTAACGGAAAGAATATTATCTCAATTAACATATCTTGTAAAAAATCTTGATCGCGGTTGAAATAATCAAAGTGTCCTGAGTATATCGTCAAACGTAGATTGCGACTTTTTATAGAGAAAACTGTGAGCAAAACAATTATAAAATCAAAGAGCGCAGACTTTTGCATAACAGAATCAAAGTCTTTCATTTCCATTCTCACTTCTGGAAGACTCTGATTGGTTGATTTCTCTTACGTCTTATGTGTTATGCATTGTGCAAAAAAAAGTTTGTGCTTTCGTCCTAAAAGTTTCATTATTTCGATTTAATTGCACGTGAAGCTTACGAAAATACATAAAGTCGAAGTCACGCACAACTTCGTGTACGTGTTTTAGAGTTAATATCATCGTTCGAAGGTAACGCATTTTTGAAGTTTGACTAATTCTGAGGAATTTGGGGTGAAGAAAGAAATACGGTAAATCACACTCGAGGTTATTGTTTTCAAAAGTTTTCAACACACACAAAATCGAACCAGGGAGCGCAGGTAACTAAACATTCTCCCTTTGATTTCGATACCGATAAGACGTCTGTCGGATGATGTGCGCAGCAAGTATTGAGACCAGAAATTTTGACTTCAAAAATCGAGAATGAGACAAAACGATTTTGGAAAATATTCGTTCTATATACTAAGAAAAGATTTATCAATTAAAAAAAAAGTATCAATTTAGTGTTAAATAATGTTAAATAATAATGTTAAACGTATCGATCGGTGTATATGATTCGCTTTGCAGAAAAATGCATCAACGAGAGTTCACTTGTTTTGAGAAGAAGAGACGACTGCGAATATTCTATTGCGCAAATCTCTAAGATACAATCGTTTTTTTCTTTTGCGTGTTTTTCTCAGTTTCCGTATTTGTTTTATTTATTTTTTTTATTCAATTGCATATTTATATTTAATTCTAAAGAACAGCTTGATACACGTACATTTTAACATACAGAGCAATTTATTTCTTTTTAAATCACATTTCTGCGTATCAAATATCGCGTATTACCGAGCGTAAAACGTGTCCTCAGAGAGGAGGAATGTTATATCACAAAGATTGTTAATCGATTGATAAGAGAAATATAAAAATTGTTTAGAACGCGAGCACTGGAATTATTTTTTTATTGATAAGTATGAATCATGCGTATATACACTATACACTCGCGTTCGCATTTGCCACGTATTTATTCGCCACCTCTGTCACTATATATTATAGTATCAAAAACTTATATTCTCTATTGTAGAAAAAAAGTCAATAAAGTTCAAAAAACCGTATTTATCTCATTAATCGTGGACCTTGATAGATAACGACTCGTGAAATTTTAATGTATGTGTCTTTGAGAAACGCGCTCAATTATAAAATAGAAAAAAAAACTTTTTTATAAACACCATGTGAGAAAATTACAAGATTAAATAAAAGTCGCTGATGACCTTGATTGGTTATGTCTCTTGATGCGCGTCCGATTTCTGGTTTGACAAGTCTGGTTATTGACAGGAATAAAGCGCGGAAGTTGTTTAGCTTCAAAAATCCGATCTTGATGAAGACTTTTCATGAAACTTCTCTCTCTCTCTCTCTCTCTCGCACACACACACATACAATAGTTTCGAGCGCTAAATAAATAAATCTAAATAAACGCGGAAATTAAATGATTTTGTTTTTTTTTTTGCAAAAATTTTCCTACTTTTATTTCTCGTTCAATATTCATTTTCGAATTTATCTGATTTCGCGGCTATCAAAGTTTACACGCACGCAAAAAATAGTTTGAAATATTGTAATTGCGTGTAACGATGACACACGAACAAGCTTCAAAGATAAAGAAAATAAAAACAGATCTTACTTATCTATTTGACGGTAATCTCGCTAGTAGTATAACATTAAAAAAAAAAAAAACTGAGTTGCGCTAATCCGAGCGGATTGGACATACGGATTTGTCGACTTCGGAAAATATCCAGCTGCGTTCACAGATGGTGACCACACGGTCGTGTGATTGCATCATGTCGAGGATAAAAGTTAGAAGAAAATATTTTTTTTTTAACACGATCAAATATATAAAATAAATCGAACTAAGAAGACTTGCGTTATTATTGTGCTCATTGTATATTTACGAGACTAGCCTGTCTGACCCACGTATGTATAATAGTTTTTTGTAAGTATGTACCTATTATGTGACGATGGCAGCTCGGTTGACACGCCAATTAGACGCAACGTGAAGGCCATATTTCGACAAGATGAGAAGATATAATGTCGACAAAATGTGCAGTTTAATTTACAGTACTTTAAACGACTGCATAACAATTTAAAAAAAAAAATAATTAAATATAATTTTTAGTTATGAGCCGTTTTTTTCCTCACTCTGTTATCGCTTATTTATTCATTTATAATATTAATTGGAAACGACACGGTGCTCGAACATCGAGCTTGAGCTTGCGATCATTTCGTCGTCGCGTAAATTGTCGTTCGCACGAATTCGCAGATGTTTACGATTCGGCGGACCCCCGCGGGCGTGTTTGCTCCGCTACCGCCTCCGAAGAGAAAAGAACTGCTCCTAATTCCCGGTCGTACGCAATACGCCCGCGGGTGGTTCCCATGGTTTCAACGTCGCGAGAACATTCCTTCAGGAGGACAGGAACGTTGCACCCGAGTCCGCTCGTTGTGGACGTAAGCAGGAGAAACGCCAGGAGAAGGCGAGGGCGTAGGACAAAAGCGAGAGAGAGGGCTAAAAAGGAACAAAAATATTCGGAGGTCGAGTCTCCTGGAGATCAACGCCGGTAAAACGGCCTCCGCCGTCTCAAGATCGGGGGAAAAAGACTCCTGCGGTGGTCAGTGCCATAAACTCCTGGCGATTTCTGGCCGCTCTCAACACAGACGTGCGCGCACAAAAATACGCACACACACACACGGACTAACACACACGTCGAGTGCGCTACTAGTGGTGGGTGGGCAAGAGAGTGGCTTATACAACGAAAGAGAACCGAAGAATGAAGAGAGGAGAGCGTAGAGTTAGCGAAGAGACTGGGAAGAGAGAAAAAGCAAGCGAGGGCAGTAAAGGAAAGACAAGAAGGTCGAGCGAGTGGTACAGAGGAACTGTAAGCTAAACTCTCGGCCTGCTGGCGCCGCTCTGTCGGCCCCCGCTGACTCCCGCCGCCAACAATGCGTGCACTCCTTCTCCTCTCCTTTTTCCTCGTAGCTGCCACGACCGCCGACGCCAACGCTACGTCGCCCAACATCTCGGTGGTTACCAATAGACGACATCGCTACGATCAGCGGCGCCAACATCGGATACTGGCGTCGCATAAAAAATCATTAAAGAGAAATTAAGAATCAATAGAAATCGTTAAAAAAATTCTTATTTCATCATTTAGTGCTTATTCCTAACGTCGTTAGGACTCAATGATGACTCATCAGCCATCGATATTGATATATCGCTAACTATCGCTAATTATCGCTAAATATCGTTTGTTCACATTATTTCTTCGCTTTGTTTAACACGCGGTGTTCATTAGTGGACAAATATTATCGATACTGCTTAATAACGTAACTTACTGTCATCGGAGCTACCTGGTATCACTGTAGAGCGACGCATACCACTATTATCAACGGCGCCACGCCAACGCCAAACGCCAACGCTGCTGTTCTCTGTCACGGACTCTCTTTCCTGGCGCGATTCCCCACCATCACGCGGCGTTTTCGCATGCTGCGTTTGGCAAAGCTCGCAGTGGAGATGCAAGAGGGAGACAAAGAGAGACCATGTCCGAGGCGACGTCGCGACTGAGCCTGATGGTGATGGTAGTGGTGGTGGTGTTGGCAGTAGTAGTTCAGTAGTACTATAATAGTGTTGCCGGTGTCTTGGTGGTGGTGGTGCGATTGCGGTGTTGGTGGTAGTGGTGGTGGTAGTACGTTACTGGCGGCAGCGACGGTGGCGAAGCTGGTGGTGGTATTTGAGTGGTAGAGCGCAGAGCCAGTCAGCCCTCCCTCGCACACGTAAGAGCATGAAACGGAGCAGTGAGTACACGAGGCGAGTCAGTTCACTGTCGACTGCGATCGAGAGAGGATTCGCGTCAGTTTCAGTTACGATTTCATCGCCTATACGGACACTCGCGAAATAATAATTTTTCGAATATCACGCTTGTGTTTTTTTTTTTTTTGGTGAACAAAAATTTGGGATTACCAAAACGATGAACCAAACAGTTTGATTGCACACGTGTGTGTTTATATGTGTGTATGTGCGTCGAGATTTTTGTGGGTTTTTTAAATACACACACGTACACACATTGGGGGAAAGAAGATAGTGTATTTAAGTGCGTGAGGGTGCGTGAAAATCAAGGAAAATAGAAACGCCGGTGAGAAAGAAGATCACCCGGTGATCCATGCGAGGAAAATGAGCGATCACGTGGTGGAAAGTACGTTCGAGCTTTCAGCCCTTATGAAAGGTGAATTTTAATCCGTAGGTTCGTAAGCGCGCCCGCGGATTTGAATCGAGCGACGACACGAGATCGACACGTAGGTGATTTAACTTTGATCTGTTTGGAATATTAACAGATACTGGGCAAAGTGTTTTTGTTTGAAATTAAATTAAAATTATAAATTTTACAAAAATCCTTTACTTATGTGTCAGTAAACCTTTATTTATATATCACGAGTTTGAAAGTTTTGTGTTAAGTATATGGTGTGTCAGATATATGCGATCGCGTCACACGATATCTCACATAAGATAAGTAAACAGAGTAATAGAATTATAATTGAAAACAAAATACGCTACGAATGATATCTCGCGTTCAAAATATTATTTGCATTTATATTGAGATATGAAATTAAATCACAATTAAGTACATGCATACCGAACAAAATGTCCAAAATCGATTTCACATAAACAAAGTTTCACTTTAACTGTACGTACCAATCAGTTGATCAGATAAATTAATTGGTTTCTTTTTTTATTCATATCTAACAATAAGAGATATATATATATATATATATATGAAGATAATCAAAGATATACACAATGAAAACATCTTTGGATGTAATCTGTGAATGTTACTATTATGTATTGTTTTTGATTAGTTAAATTGAAATGTTTTTTTTTTTTTTATTTCTTATCTCGATTACATTTTCAATCAATTTACTTCAGTTTTAAATCACAATCTCAGTTTTATTCTTCCTGTATTTACTTTTATGTATCGAAACATTTTCACTTTCGTACTTTCTCGTGTCGTCGATCTAAAATTTCCACATATAACAAATGAATAAATTATAAGTCTCCAAGCATAACAGAATCGTGATTTGTATTAAAAAACTGCTCTATCTAGAGTGTGCTTCAAATTTCTGTCACTGTAATATTAAATCTATACACACACACACACACACACGCACACATGTGCGATTTACATTTCAATGTAAAACATAATCGATAAAATAATAATCTTTCAGTTGGAAATTAGATCTGTATTTTATCAATTATTTGCTAAAAAAAAATAAAACTTCAACGTTCGCTAAATAGTTGCCACTGAAGAATAAATATTCGGATTTATTTCGCTTGTAAATCATTACGTCGATTGTTTGCGAGTCAATTGATACGATCTTTTTGGCGGATAATATTTATCGTGAACGTGCCAGCGATGTGGAATAAGAGATCGCGACTAATCGGAATCGGAGAAATGAAAGAAGAATTAGTTAAAGACAACGATTGGAATAAATATGTACCCTGTAATTAGGTAATAGCGTTAATGAACAAATATATGACGGGAATACAGAGGACAGTACAAACACGAGAGAATTTTACTTATTATCTTGCTGAATTTTAAAACATTTAAATAATATTTAGACATTTGCGAATTAATAATTCTTTTGACAAATTCGGTACAATCCGGATCTAGTGACACTTTTTCATTGATACATCATGAGCTGCCAGACACATCGAGACCAATTGTCATACGTAACTCACGCGGTGTATCACGCATGTTTCACATGTAGTATGTAAAATTTTGCTGGGTCAAAACAGGATCATTATCTTATTACGTTTTCTGCAGCCTGATAATAACACACGCTGAATTATTCAGAACGATATCAAAAGAACCAAATCTAAATTCACCGTATTTTTCGATGCCGGATAATAGTAGCACTTTTTTTTTTGTCAAGACATTGGAAAATGGTGTAGCAACTTGATCGAGTAAGAGAGACGAGGGGAAAACTAGAAACAAGAGAACGATGTATAGGATGTGCGACGGTTGTGGCTTGCGATGGCGCCAGTCAGTGAGTCGTCACATATCCGCACGCAGAGATACACTTCTAAGGAACAAGCAATCTCCTTTGAACCAAGTTCGAAATCGGTGCTGAACATCAATGCGTAAACAACAATGAGCACGACGGAATCAAACGCGACAACGATGCCGATTTAGGTTGAATTCAACAAAAGACCGACATCTGACGATCTGTATTGTATTGTCAGTTCCTTCTTTTTTTTTTCACAGTATTCTCAGTATTTATAACGAAGTCGTATATACATGTGAAAACAAAAAGTAACATAATTTATATCTCTGTCAAATTTTCCATGAAATTATCATGAGAAGACATGACATTAAGTGACAATTATCAAGAGAAAATCTCCATTTAATGAGATGTTTTATCTCTGCAATAGTTATCAAAATTTATTAATATCTTAGGGGATGAGATAACATATGAAAAAACACAATATCGCGATGAAACATCCGCAAACTTCCGATTTGCGCGCGATCAGTGAAAAATCGACAGTCCTATCTGACCGCGAGAATCATCATCTTAATTTAATTTAATTTAATTTAATATCGGAGTGACAGATCGTTTTATTTTTTTTTTATAACGACTAAAAAGTTTATTTAAACAGCCCATTATTTTAATTAGCCCATTATTTTTTAATTAATGTTACATGCTTTGTTGTAAACACATTATATTAAAATGCATCGTTGACATTATTAAAAAAAATCTCGTAATAAAGAATTAAATAAAGGTTATATTGCTTATATCATTTTATAAAATTATTATTATTCCGTTTTTGCTATCGTTATATTAGAAATTTTCAACGCAAGGTTTTTTAATGTTATTTTATGTTTCTTATTTATTGCCATTCACGTATTAGCGGATTTCCGCACAAAAAAAAGAGAAGTTTCGGGCTTTACTTTCCTCCCTGAAAGCGGAAAAAAAATCGATTAAAAAATCGCGTCGATAAATGTTACGCCGCTGCTGATTTTAATAAGATCAAGATTTTAATAAGATCGTATATACATGTGTTAAACGTCAGCGCATTCCGCTCGTATTCCGATTCAATACTCACTCAACATGTTAAACTCGTCGCTTGCGATAACGCCGTATTTTTCGTACAGAGTTGCACGCATGTGTTTCAAACAAAAAACAAAGCAAATAATAAATAAATTATTATACACGCGCGCCTTTCAACATCTTCACAAACTTGTGTATCATCACAGTATCATCAACGGAACTCAACGAAATATATGCTTTGAGATAAATGTAATTGGTCACACGGTGTTGTTGGCACGAATACAGCAATATTCATCGATAAAATCAGTGTTTGCTGATAATATTGCCGTCGCTTAATGGTTAATTTAATAATAAATTTAATTAGACGTGCAGGTGTGTGTGTATGTGTGTGTGTGAATAAATATTCTACTTAATGCGATTTGCACATTTATTCAACGAACATAATATAATATTTATAATATTTTATTCCATTAACTATTTTATAACTAACTGCTAAATTTAATAATAAAAAAGTTATTACTTATAATTGGATATTAAAAGTTATTACTTATAATTTGATATTAATCGGAGAAAAGAAATCTTTTTACGCTATTACTGTTTATTATTTGTTTGATATATATATATATATATATATATATATATATATACCTACTATTTATTGATTTTTTAGCAGGTATTAATCTCATCGTCGAAAACATCGCCGATAAAAAAATTGTCCTCCAGTTCCGTTATCATAATCGAGCTGACATAAAAACGTGACAATGAGCGTTTTAATTAGATTATGTCTGTGCCCTGCCTCCGCGCGATAACTATAATCGAGGTATATCTATCGATTGCCATGCGCGCTATCTAAAAAGTCTTCACGCGCATTCTCATTTACATATCTCATCTCTTCTCGCCCGACTACTTTTACTCTCGAACTCGCCGTCGCGAGCCGACGAGCGAGTCGACATTGCATTTCGACTTGCAAGCGAACTACTACTGTAGAGCAGCGACGAAGAATGTGCACCCCGTTGCTTTTTACAGATCTCGTAACTGCGAGGAACACGTTTTACCATTTGCTTATCGCTACACGCACATCGTTACACGAGCAGTGAGTTAAATATTTTTATGTACCACCACGTACGTCAGTCTCATTTTGCGATGTCATCGCGGAATTGTCTTTTGGCGTCGTTTTTCTCGTTCCATGCGTGACTTTGTCCAAAATATACGCAAAATTTATGTGTTTATGTATTAACATGACGCGTGTACGCGTATGTTACCGATTACAAAAGAAAACATAATGTTGGGTGATGCAAAAGTTCACGCCTGATTCTGATAGATTTATTTCTATCTAATAAATTCATTAGGAGAGTTGTATAATAGAGTTATTGATTGTTACGTGTTGCACATCTATGGAAAAGTGACATATTCAATGATTTATTTGAGCAAAAGACTCGTGTTCTTATTTGAATTTACGTTGTTAAAAAAAATGAAAATGAGAGAAGAAAACTTGCAGATGAGATCTGTGTACAGAATCGATGATCAAAAGTTAATTTGCATCCTGGAAAAGTGATGCTTTCTGTTTGGTGAGATTGCAAAGAAATAATTTATTTTGAGTTGCTCTCCTGTAGAATTAATTCTAACAATTAAACAATTCAAAGATAGCAATCCAATAAAATTGTTTAATTCTCAGTCAATCATGAGACAGGCGATTTTCACATCACGACAACGCAAAACTACACACTGCAAAACCGACCTTGCGCAAACTAAGAAAGAAACTGAAATGAGATATCGTATCACACCAACCATATTCTCTCAATGTCACACCAGATTATCACTCCTATCACTTGTTTCGATCATTTCAAAACAATTTGAATTAAAAAAATCTTGCAAATAGTTCAAATTTGTCGTACGTTTAACACTGTTTTCCAATTTTTTTGTTGTTTTATAATTTTTCAAATTTCAATACAATATTTGAGTCAATGGAAATTGCTTCAAATTGCAACAAAAAATAAGATCTAATTGCATATTGATCTGTTGTATATATTTTTTAAAGTCCAACGTCTTTTTTAAATAATGTATTATTCTGACCTGCTTTAAAAGAATCCCCGAATTCTGGTAATGTATAAGATGATTCTGAACCCACACCTGTGCTGTTGCACAAATAAATAGTACCAGGCATTTCATAAATTGATCA